AGCCAGGCTGATATGGATTTTTGAAAGGCCAATTTATATCCCGTATATCTCACCTCTCAGTGTACTGAGTGTGGATACATGACACAAGCCTGTCAAACTGGGTTTGGACAAAAAAATTTAAATATATTTGATTCAACCGGTTTTGGTCATTTTGCCTCATCTATCGACTTGATTTTTGTAACTGCATGAGCCTGTAATTGGGGAAACTATCAGGCTTTGGTCAGTTGGGTAAGTTTTCTTTCGGACTCAGAGAGTTGCAGCGCGAGCCGCACTTCGGTTCGTACCTGTCCCTGCAATGTGATCTCTAGATTTGCTACAGCTATAGCTAACCAACTTGAGTCAAGGCTGTGCTGGAACCTGCCCTTGCTTTAGGAGACTGTGAAAGACGGTCAACATTGCATTTAACTTTTCATGCACATTGAATTATACATTCAATGTGTAACTTGTCCAGTAGGGGTTTTTCAATTTTTCTACCGATATCTCTGGGTTTGAACTTTGTTGGAAAGATTTTGGATAATGTAAACACACAAGACAACAAATATAGGTAAGATAAGTTTAGTTGTTTTTAGACATTTTAATGAAGAGTAGTAACACATTAAATCTTTAACTTGAATTCCTCAAAGCGGAAATCTTACACATCCTGCTGCTCTAACTGAACTAAATCACAAGAAACCACAACATAAACACAGATTTAAGAAAATCCTTTTGTCTTTTGTTGTTTATGCAGTCGTATAAACTGATAGTATGGTGTCATGGTTTCAGTTCCTCAATCACACCACTGGAGACAGTTGTAAAGGTGAAAAGGACATGCTGCATGTGAACCGGCCTCCTTCACACAATTTCACATGCGGTCTACAAAAACATAACCGTCTGCAAACAGTCAGCAACATCTCATGACCGGCTGTGCTCCTCACAAGTTCCTTTTGGGCCACGTGTTTGCATTTATTTTTTTGTTCAACACGCTCATGTTGTAAATTGCAGGATCTCTGTTGGGATGAAACAACAGAAACCTGACAAACAGGCCTCGTCTTTGCCTCTGTCCTGTCAGGGGGACACTGGGACGCTGTTTGGACTTATATGTGAACTACCAACTGTCTACCCTACACATCCATTTAAACACATCCACATGTAATCAACCTCTTCACAAATAAAAACTATAACAGCAGTAAGAAGGGGTTAATAAGAAACAGCAACAACCACAACAAAAAACACTCCATGCAGGAGTATGACGGAGCAAAAACACTCCCAGGGAAGCTTCAGTGACTTCCTCCTCGTCAGAGACAACAAAGCATCACCGCCCTCAATTACTTCTCTCTTTTTATTCCTTTCACGACATGAATCTGATGATATAATTAGATTTTTCTTTTAAAAGAAAAAAGAGAGAGGGGTGTGGGGTGGCCCTGGCTTTTCCCGCGCTGATCGAGGGTTGACATTTTCATTTAATGCTAACAACCTTCATCAATAATGCTGAAGTTGCCTCCCTCCGAACACACTCGCTCATTCTTTCTCCTTCTGCAGCCTGCCTGGGTTAAAAATAGCTCTCCCCTCTCTCTTTCTCTGCTTCTCCGTTTACATAAGCACACAGAGGGGGGAGGGGAGCACTTCCGGTCTGGCCACCCAGCCCAGCATCTGATCCATAACACTGGGGCTGCTGGGTGTGGGAGAGAGGAGAGGAGAGGAGAGGAGAGGAGAGGAGAGGAGAGGAGAGGAGAGGAGAGGAGAAAAGAGGAGAGGAGAGGAGAGGAGAAAAGAAGAGAGGAGAAAAGAGGAGAGGAGAGGAGAGGAGAGGAGAGGAGAGGAGAGGAGAGGAGAGGAGAGGAGAGGTCCCGCAATGCAGGGAAGCCCTCTCTTTCTCTATTTCAATCTGTCTCTTCAGTCTTTTGTCAACAATCGCATTTCTTCCAAAGAAGGTTTTTCTTGATCAACTTAAAGAGATGGTCAACCCGAACCTATCCCCAACTATCATACAGAACCTCACATACAGTAAGCAACAAACACCTGTGGCCAAGTGTGCAATATAAAGACTCTCAAAAAGTCAGTATACAGCTGCAAGTCATCATAGAGCCTTTGTCTTCATTATCAATTAATCTGACTTGATTAAGATTTGGTTTATAAAATGTCAGAAATCTCCCATCCTGGTCCATAGAGTCCCCAAGTCCTGTTTTGTTAAACTAACAGCCCAAAACTGAAATATATCCAGGTAACCATCACATGAAATTATTGCTGCAATGAAAATAAAACTATTTTGATGATCATTTAATCAATTTAATTAGTTTTCAATTTGAACGCATCACCTGGCCATTTAGATCTGGGCTGGACATTATAAAGCCAAAGCAATTCAAGGAGAACATTTTCAGCAGATTCATCAATAAGGAAAATTAGAAGTTGAAACTAAAGGAAGAATTTATAACTTGCAGATTATTTTTTATCAGTTTACTGAATCAATGCAGTTTTACTGAAATACTGTATTACGTACAACTTCGAGGTGCTTTACCTGAGTATTTCTGTTTTAAGCCAGAAAATATCTTACTTTTTTATCCACATACAAAATGCAAAATATTGTCAAGGATGGTTTCCAGTCTTTTTGTCATTGTGATGTTTCAGTTATCAGTTCAACCATAGAGTGAATTTCACTCTAGTGTTATACTTTCTGTATCTTCAAGGGTCCACTAGAATCCAAATGTAGATTTTGTCGTCATCATCATCATCATCCAATGTGTTGTGACAGAGCCACTACACAGGGGCACCAACTGCGAATGCGTCCTACAATTGGACTAGAAAGTAGTAAAATTGAGAATAACTAAGCATACATGGTGTGTGCAGTTGTCTGTGTCCATGTCCGTAAGAGAGTACAATTGCTCAACCCCGAGGTTGTGAAACACTACACTACACCTAACTTTCAATCATTTTGAGCTAAAATGCTGAGTTGATTAATTGATAAGATATGAAAGGCAACATAATTATTCTCAGTCAGTCACAGCAAACTCAAGTTGTAGCTTCTCAAACAGCAGGATTTCCTTCTTTCCTCCACCATATCAGAATTAATCCAAAAAACAATCAGCACAATCATCGATCATCTAAATAACGTTATCTTATAAAACTCTAATAATTTGAGTTTGTATGTTGAGTACTTCTCCAACCACTGCGTAAAGTCACATGTACAGAAAACCAGACGACCTTACAAATGCATGTCGATGCAGCGGCACGGACTGTACACAAAAACACATGAACACATGGAAGAGTCAGCTAAGCCTCCACCCTCCAAGAGCCCCGGCTTCATGTGACAACTGCATGCCTCATAACAGAGGCAGGCCTGACCGAGATAAAGAGGCGGATAAGAATGGAAGACAGGAGAGAAAAGAATGGAAGGAGGGGGGAAAGAAAGACAGGAGGGAAAGGAGAGAGAGAGAAAGAAAGAAAGACGTGTTCAGAACAGAGGGAGGGAGTAAAGCAAGACGAAGGAGGAGAAGGTTCAGGAAGCTGGGGCTTTGGGGGGAAAAAATTAAATGTCTCAGCATGTGTGAAAAATAATTTCGATACGCAAAACATTGGCAGTGAAAACTTTCAGGAGTCTGTGGAGCGAGGATACGATCTGAGCTCGCTGTCACCGACAACACACACACGGACCACGAGGCTAGTTTAGCAAGACTGCTAACTAGCTGGCAGCCCAGTAGAAAAAAACCTATGTATCGGTCAACACATAAAAGTGCAACCTTTGCTTCTGCTTCATACAGAGCAGGACAATCTGCAAACAAACACCTCAACCTCTTATAGGATAAGTCTAGAGAACATTTATATTAAATCTCACTGAAATACCAAAACAAACACAGACAATAAACTAATCGGGCTCCCGTTATTTAAGAGTTTACAGCCATGTATGTATGTAGCCATAATGTTAACATGACGCCAATGCTAATGTTTAGCAAGCATAACATTTACCATCATATAGTTTACCATGCTAACGTTTGCTAACTAGCACTAAACACAACGTGAGGCACAATTGGACCATTTGTAACTTTTGATGAGATAAAAAAAAACTCAACGGGACAACACATTTATTAGAATTCATCCTCTGGGGACCATGACAGTCTATAAGTTATTTAATCCAAAAAAAAACACAAAAATGGCGGACAGATCGACAGACCAATCATTACTATACCCACAAAGCCACACAGCAAGTTTCCTCATTAAGATAAACATGATTTATGACTACGCACCTAACCCACAGCTGGAAATAGTCCCAAACAAATGCACTGTTTACTTACGTTTTAGCAATGTTAGCTAAAAACTACAGTTCACAGCAGTTTTAGATAGTTATTTAGCCTTTTCAAAAAAATTTAATTCTAATATTTCATGACTGCTTTATAGGTTTCATCGTATTGCCAGGGCCTAAGTGCCAGATGGTGAAGAAATCCAAAATATCAAGCTAATGTAATGTTGAATCTGGTGATTTCAGGGGATTTGATGACAATATGAAAAATACTCAATCGCATCTTTTTTAAAGTAATGTAGGTTTTATTCCTCATTTGATGAACCAGAGTCGAAACAGATTCTGATGAGGTCTAGTCTTTAGGACTTCTCGTCTGGGTGTTGTCAGTGTCACCTCATGAACCTTGACACCTTGCACTCACATAAACCACATGGCAAAACACCCTGACACCCGCCAGTGTGCATGCCGAATGGTTGTGCCCTTAGAAATATCTGTAATCCAAAGCGTATGCATAGGAGGGGAAACTTACTACTGTGCACAGTCGATGAGCTGATATTCGTTGGACCTTTCCCAGCAGGCCCGCACACCCTCGTCCTGCCAGAGGATCTTTGTATGGTCGTAAAACTCCTGGAGAGAGACAGAAGGATCTGGATCAACATTTTAACACACCTACAAAGTACCGTAAATCAGACTCTTGTACTGGCTCTGAAATAAAGATGTGTAGGACAGAAAGACGGTTGAGGAAAGGTGCAGAGTATGTTCAAGTAAAACAGGAATCTTTATAAGATATAGCAGCTGTGAATCTGAATGTGCCACCTTTCTTCTGATATATCTTTATTCTTTCTGGGCTTTCCAGAGAAGAGAGGATCCACCGATCCATCAAAGGATAATCTGATCATTAAATAACAGTTTTTAAGCAAAAATACAAATATTTTCTGATTCCAGCTTCTCCTATGATGCTTTTCTTTATCATATATGACAGGAAACTTGGGTTTAAGGCTGTTGATTGGACAAAACAAGACATTGAAGACGTCACCTTCTAATTAGTATTTTCTGACAAAACGATAAAACAATTAATCAAGATAAACCAATACAGATAAATCAATAGTGAAAGTAATTATCAGTTGCGGCCCTAAAGAGAAAGGAAGTTTGTTAATAATCAGATATCAATCGTCCAGCCTGCGGGAGGCATACAAATGATCCCCATTAAACATGTGTCTCTGGCTCATGACCATATTTCCCGCCTGGGCCTCGACAGTAGAAAACATTTAAAGACGGATGGACGGAGGCAGCGATATTGTCTGCATTAGTTTGGAGTTTAAAGCCTGCGTGGAGGGGAGCAGCAGCAGATGAGCGGGCTCCAACAGAGGCAGGAAACGCAATAGTTCATAGAGTTCATGAAGAAACGGGGAGCTTTGTACTGACACAGGGCTTGGCTGTCACTGGACGGGGGCCTATCTCTTCGCTACGATCTCCACTTGATCACTTACAAATGCCGTCAGGCACAAATAAGCCATTATGAGGCACAGCAGAGAACTACGTGCTCTTGTAAATACTTCATTCAGCCGAGAGTAAGCAGGATTTAGCGATGACTATATGACAGTGACCAATATGAATAAATGAATGGGACGTTGTTGTTTGTCAACAACTACAATACGACACGTCGAGGAGCCGCCTTAAATAAGCAGCAGAAATGACAGCACACAAAGAGCAGCTCGGAAGAGAAGGTTGTTCATTTCTTCAAGGTTTGTATGTGGGATAACATAACATACAAGTTGATGCTTTCAGTAAAAATAACTTTTATTGGTTCTCCTTGTTATTTTTAACTTTAGTTGATTGTTAGCTGGAATATGAATTAGCACAGATTCTAGGCAAAGCAAGAAGCTCAAAAAAGTCCTGATCAATATAATTTGAGTTAATATACAGACTCAAGATAGGAGGCATAAGAAAAACAGGATGAACAACTTTTAAATCACTTTAAACACTGTCTGATTTAATACATAATTTCCGATCAGAGGAATAAAAAGTATGCGAGATCCCAATGAAAACCAGGAAATGCGACAATTTACCAAATTAACTGGCATTTACGGCACTTGTTTTGTTACTTACTGGAAGTTTTATCTATTACATATGAGTCGATGAGTCAGAAAGTTAAGCTGGGAATATTCTAATAATGACCCTTTTTCATTGTTCAAGCAGAGAAGCCAAACATTTGTGAGCCTCTCCAAAGAAAGAATTTTTATGTCTTACAGATTCATAAAATTTATATTTTGGAATTTTTGCACAAAAATACACATTTACAGAAAGATTATTTTTTTCTTACCAAACAATTAATTTATACTGAAAATCATTGTTAGCTGCAGCTCTAATGACAATAATTCCTAATATTATCATGAATTATTAATTGCATTAATTAACAAAAACACAACTTGCACCTGGATAAAATTTATGGAAAAGTTTAGGAAATTGCTCAACTTTTGTTAAAATCACATATAAAAACCTATTATTAAAACTAAAAGACACTAGCTAATTAAAAAAAATAACATGAAAAATTTTATAAACCTTTAAGATTTACAGAAAACTTAGAAAGAACCAGACTGCAGAGAAGGGAACTCATGACATAATGCGAGAAATGTTATTTTTAGTGCAGAAAAAAATTGTTGATTAATAGCTTAAAATCAATTGCATGGTAAATGTAATATAATTGTATATATTTTGGGGTTTGGGACTGTTTAGTTCATAAAAATGCCATATTAAAAATTTAAGTAACTCCTAATCTAACCCTAACAGTTGTAACTATAGATCTATTAAACATAATTTGTATTTAATGATCCCAAAGTAGCAAAAAATATATTTAATCAATTTAAATAATAGTTTAGTATACTGAGTGTATAAATAAGCTGTGTAAGTAAGAACTGTTTAAAGTTTCAAATGAAACTTTAAAGAACAACTACTTGTAATTAACTGATCAACAGATCAAACATCTTTCTACATGAATTTCTGTCTTTCTACCCAAGAACGAATCAATCACACACAGGAGGTAACAAATCTACTATTTAAAGGTTTTTTCTGTTACTTTGAGTCTTTCTGTTCTGAACTCTATATATACAGTACATACATACATTTATACGACAGAAAAATGCTGTCATGTAAACTCTTATATTGAGTTGTGTAGGTTTTTTGGTTATTGTTTATGAAGAATAGAAATATATGAGAAGTTGACTTGACCACAGATGTTCTTTCTGATCTTTTGTGATTATAAAGTCAGAAACCATGTGATTTAGCTTGAGGTAAATTCCACAGAATTAAGTTGAGGAAAGGGTTTTCTGAACGATCCACCAGGTGATGAATCAAAAAACAATCTGTCGATATCGCTGTGCTCTCTTATGACAAATCTCGTACATATTTTTATGTTATTTAAATAAAAGTATAAGGATACATTGACGTCTTACGATGAATCAGAATGAGAATTGATAATGACCTAATCAAGAAGATGAGGTCATCTGAGACAAACTTTAGATTTCAGATTTTTAGAAAGTTGAAAAGTGACACATTACATTTTCAAGTCCCATAGTTTCCACTATTTAGCTGTTAATAATGAGTGTATATCAGAGGAAGGCTATCTGGTACTTATTAGGATGGGAATTGATAAAGTGTTAGTTTTAACACATCTTTAAGTACACAATCATTATAAAGTAGAGAACATTTCCTCTTACATTCACTACAACAAACTAAAATTCAAGACTAGAAACTACAGTACAGATAATTAGTGCAGTATGTTGCAGTATGTGGATGGTCAGGAGAGTTTTGTCTGTATACACACACATCATCTACAGCCTGGACAAGTGAGTCTTCATCTGTTGTTCTTAATAAGAATTTTTTTTTGCTCAGGCGTCGTCACTGTTCCTGCAGTAAGAGCAGAGAAGCTGCGGACAGGTGAGCACGGCAGCATTCACTCTGCCGGGACTGAGAGAGCTTGAGTAACAGTTTTCTTTTTTTTTAATCTTGCAAAAAGACATGCTCCATTTTATTATTAATATGTCATGAAAAACACTTTTGTTGAATAATAACTAGGAGGATAATTGATTAGACACGTAGCTTGAAAAGAAATTAAGAAGAGACTGCGGAGATTCAACACAGGCCTCGTGCTTATCCTCCCTCCCTCTGTCTTCCTCTCCTGCTGAAGGCAGCGTCAACCAGTTCAACTGGTTTCCAGTAGGCCCTGAGGCCAGGAGCGGCGGAGTGGGAGGAGGAGGAGATGGTGGAGGAGTCAGATGAGAGGATGATCAGATATTTTCTCTACTCTATTCTCCCTCCTAAACAGCCGATCGCTCAATTCTACACGAGAATCAGTGAAGACAAAGACAAACGTTGTATCTGTAAGACGTGAGCGTATTGTTGGTGTACTTTAGCCTATCACCGATGTTTAAACCTGCTCCACAACCGCACATGAAAAAAAGACCAAACTCAGTATCAGATCAGGGATCGAGTGTTGGTCTTCCCCCTTTGAAAAGACCCCGCAGGTCTTCAGCAGAAGTCTAGTGACAAACAGCCCGAGGGAAGGGTCAGCTCGAGAGAGGCCAGCATTATAAATTTGCCATGACGTAGCAGAGACGATATCAGGAGACTTCCTTTTGCTTACACACAAATACGCAGGCTCTTCACTGGAAACTCAGCGGCTAAAGACAAATCTACCCGGTAGAAAAAAATGCCAAGTTTTATCACTGAAGCCGAAGTGCTGGAAAAACACAAGACAGAGTTTCCTCCTCATCTGCGTCACTTTTCCCACATCAGAAAACGACTATAATACTAATGAAGAAGTGAAATAATAACCTTTCCTGTCAATTTCTGTCCCAGGGGCATTTAAGTAAAATAATATATATATAATTATAATATAATTTCCGATGGTTTCACATTCATTTGATTAAAGCTTATTTTCTTTTTCTCAAAGAAATCAAAAAAGTTATTTTCAAAAACTTTTAGACCTCAACTATAATTTAACATAAATCAATACTGAAGAATAACATATGTGAGATCAGAAAGATTTTAAATCATACATGATTTAAACAAAATCAATAAAAATGCTCCAGAAGACGTCGGTAAATTAATAAATAAGTATCTGGTGCAGCGGCTGCCTCCCAGGTCACTGGGAGCAGACCGCGGCTCAGGGGGAATCCCTCTGAGCCTCTGTGTTTCTGCAGGACAGGTCCCTCTGGACACATTTAGGGTTATTACAGACAATCAGTGTTAATAGGCGCCGTGGATCTCTCAGGTGAGAGCCTCATTCAATTGACAGCCTCCCAAGCGGGAGCCCACCTGCTAATTACTGAATCAGAGCACAAACGCACCATCAGGCCGATTCATGATACATGTAAATATACATGGTAAATATACATGGAAACCCTGCAAGAAAATTACTAGAAACCATGATGTAATTTAGATGTGCAAATTTTGAAAGTCCATTTTTGAAAATGGAATAAAGTTAAGGTCTGCATTTAATTTAAAAAGACTTTCACCATCAGGACTATCGAAGGACTTGCAGCTTCCTAAGTGATGGTGGGTTGAACACTGTGTTTTAGCTCCTGTGCACAAATTGCAGGACCAGTTAATCAAAATAAATGAGCCATAAGTTTTGCTTGCATGGTCGATTTATTATAAACTGTCTCTTGTGAAAAGATGCAAAGACATTGATGAGAGAACACTTTCATAAACCTCCAGGTGACATCAGACTGAAAGCAGCTGTTAAAGTAGGACTGTATATGAAGTTGAGAGGAGAACACAAGCTGCTATTGAGGTCAGAGAGTCAACGCATGGGAAAAAACAAAGTGCAACTTACTGTAGGAAACTCAAAATCCTTCTGGTTTGCTTGGTTCGTGACATATTCGATTTGGCTTTTGTTTGCAGGACAGGCTAACTGGCATGGCGGTGTGAGCGTATTCATGGCGGCCACGATCGTCTGCATGGAGTGGACAGATGAAGAAAACGTTATACGACAATTAACAGAAAAAAAAAACCATAGTGTACAACATTGCTGTCACCATGGAAGGAAATGTGTAACAAACAGTTAAACAAAATCTCAGACATCAGACTTTATCATTGAAAATGGGTCAAAAGCTCAGTTTCTTACCTCTATAGCTTCTTTAATGTTGTTTTTAATGTCATGAATTTTCTGTTTTTTCTCCCTGTTAAGAACAAATAAAAGTTTGAGTAATTTTTTAACACAAAACAAGTAAATAAAAACAATTTGACATTATTTACTGTGAGTATGGTTTAACAATTTCCATAAGTTCTAATTAAAACCTTGATTATTTCCAAAATATGGCTCCACAGGGACCAGTGAAAAAAACGTTTTCCTAAACTTGGCAGAAATATATCCGCCGTAAATCCAAATATGGATAATGTGGAAACTTCTCCAGCTTCTCTTTGTCAGACAGGAGATATCTGACATCAGTGTTACAGCTGTTCCAGATGCTCAGATATCTTTATTTGTGCTGAACATCCTGAATGTGTACTTCTTGATGCCAAATAAGAACAGAACTTGTCTTAATTTTGACAAAAGTACATCTAACTACTGCCTATTAGCAGCACAAAGCAGTTAATCCAAAGTATTTGCCAGTACATTGGTAGGTTCCCCATTTTGAATGTTTGCTGTTGTAAAGACAAACTGAGATTCAGCATCACCACAAGGTTCAATTTAATCAATCTGTGGACTTCACTGATACCAGTGGTGAAGGTTTAAAGTCACACAGCTCTCTCAGAACCAGGAGCTTCAGAATGTAACCGTTCTTTTCGACAAAAGACAAGTTTGACTACTGAATCTCAGATATCGACGTTCACAAAATGAATCAACATCAGACACCTGCATGGTGTGATTTTTTTTTTAGGTGAAACATCTCTCAGAGTATTTCAGAGCAACAGGTTACAAAGTATAACATCCACATATGTGTCTTAAAGTCAATTATCTAACAGTTCAGACTGAAATCCAACCTGTAATACCCATGTTCAGTAAAGGGATTTCAAAGTAAAAGCATGGAGGAATATATCTTTTGATTATGAATGCGTTCTGTCCAAAGTGACTTTGCTGAAAATGTGACACTATCAGCATCACATCACGCTGCTGTCACCGAGATGTAACCCTAACTAGTGATGATGATTTTCACATCAATGCAAATTTGTTTCATCATAGTATATTCTGAAAAATAAGTTTTCATATCATCATATTAAGGCTCATATCGGTTGATTTTATTAGCATTTTTGTTAATTAATTAACCGAAATACATGATGCGCCTGAATCCCTAAGTGTGACAACTTGCTTCTCTCCTTGGTTTTTTGTTATAGTACATTGAATATGTTGAGGTTTTGGACGGATGATCAGACAAACAAGAAAGATGAGAAACCTCGTCGGAGGGGACAGGAGAGGTTTAAACTCTAAAGACAAGTCTGCTTCGCTCACTGCTCCTTTACTTCACTCAGATCGATGGCAGAACAACCAAAGACACAAAGACTACATACCTCACACTAGAATCCCCCCCCCAAAAAAAACCTAAAACAAAACGAAAAAGTAACACCCACTTGCCACACCGATCTCTTCTCACCTCAACACTATAGCTCTTCTCACTCTTTTTTCCCAACCCTCTGCTACTGTATGACTGTGTCATTCTTCATCAACTCCTCCCGTCCTCATCTTCCTCACTCTCCCAGCACCTTGCAGACTGGCACTGGCCTGCACCCAGAGGGGAAACCCAGTAAGGTTAAACACCCCCCTGGCCCACAGGGAGCAACAAACCCCAGAGGCTAAACACGACCGGGGAGTCGCAGCCGACCGTGGATTTGTCATAACTCCAGAGTGTCTGAGTCTGTGAGGAGCATCTGTTCGACATGTCCCAAAAATAAGCACATGATGATGCTCCTACTCCAAAAGCCCTTTCTAGGAAACAGATGATGAAGAATAAAAAAAATGTGACTTTTGTTTCCATTGCATCAACGTGGGATTGAGTTTTAGGAAATTCACAAGAAAGGGTGGCTTTAAAACACCCGGAGCAATGTTTCCATGAAAACCTGAAACAGATAAGGCATTCTTCTTGCGTCACGCAACTTTGAGTATTTACTCCAAAACATTACAAAAATCTTCCCATTACATTTGACTCCATCCTCTTAATCAGACTATAGTGATTGTGGACAGTTTATTAAAGTGGCAGGAGTCCGCCCCTTACGTGCCAATGGAAAAAATATATACTGGCATGAAAATCAATTACATCCAAGAAATTTGTAAGAATTCTAAATGAGTTTTCATATAAGTAATTAGTTTGATTATTTATCAACTCTAAAAAGGAGGAGAGAAATGTAATTTCTCTACTTCCTGACTGAAGGAGGACAGCTGCTAATTGTCATTGTATTGTCAAGGGACACTGGAATACACATTATCTACTTTGTGTTTGAACAGAACAAATAAAAGCACTTCCAGAAGATGCTCTATTATCCTTAAAAGATAATGTGCTGCATTAAGAGACACTTCATTCGCAAAAGCAATTTGTACTGAAACAAACTGGTTGATCATATGCTTCAGTTTGTCCAACCAACAATCCAAAACCAAACATTTTCTATGACATCAACTCAATAAATTGGATATAAACATACTAAAAAACGTGAAATAGGAGAAGATGGCAACACATAATATTAAAAATTCAGCTTAAAATATGATTAAAATATAAAATCATAAAATGGTTATATTTTAGGATATTTGCGGATTCTTTTTTTTTTATTGGCAACACATTGTTTCAGCTGTATTTTGTGATGCAGCTTGAATAAAGATTGGTAGAATTTTTCATTTTCAACATTAAACGCACAGCAACCTGACAAAATACATGAACATTGATTTAATTCAACCTTTTTTTTTCCTGAGTTTAGATCTTCTGAAAATCACTTTGTTTGTTGAGATTGTTTCCTGATGATTTTGTTCACTAACTTTCCACATCGTTGACAATAAACTTCCTCACTAACTTCTTTCACTTGTGTAACTGAGGGACGTGCACAGGGACCTGCTGAGTTTGAGCATCACTAAAAATCTAAATGCACCAATCATTCTCCCCAGAACACCACCACATCATTGGGGTGTTGGGTCGACAAAGTCGACAAAAGATTTATCATGTGTATGTTAAATGAATCACATGTGCTGTGGGTGTGTGGGGACTGACACTTACTCTGCATTGAAGCCATTGACATGCAGTATTCGCATCTGTTTGACTATCGTGCTTTTCCCGGATTCACCGGCCCCTGAAAGCAGAAAAAGCACAGACAGATAAGTCAAAAATGGTTTACAAGTGTAAAAATCAAAGATAAAACATGAAAATCCATGTGAAACTAGTGGATAATGATTAAAAACATGTCACTGGACTCTCTGAAGCATTGGAGGAGAAACTACTTTGATGGAGGATCAGGAAAGAAGATGATTTAGTGGAAGTGAGCGACAAACTTGATGCTTGATGCATGCATGATTGAAATAGCAGCACCCACACTATCCCACAGTTAAACTCCTTGTCCCTTCATGGTGATCGATGTTATACAAAAGCTACACTGCTCGGGCTGAAAAAGGACGACGAGAAATGAGGCAATCAAAGCACCGGCTGAGGCTCGATTGTTCTTATCTGTGGTGGAACATAACCATGCATATTTACTCAAGTACTGTGTTTACTTATAGAACTTCATCTCTACATCTAAGAAGGAAATAGTCATGTTTACTTAAATTCATTTATTTAACAGATGTACTTACTAGTTTATTTCTGATTAAGATTTCATACAAAAAAATTATAATTACAGTTCTACGATGCATTGTTATAGATTAAAACAGAGTTTCCAAACTGCTTGTGACCTCTTATTAAAAAAAAGCAGTGTCTAGTTTCAGATGCTTAGGAATTATCTGCAGTTCCACCAAAGAGACTTTCCCCCTCTGAATTTATGAGATGGATTCATTTAATAACTGTTTTCATATAAAAGTGGGAAAATGGTCCATTATGTCACGATAAGAGAAGACACCAGAAACTTCTCAATTAAAGGAATACAAACTTGCACATCTAAACTGTTTATTTAACTTCTTTTTGACACAATACTCATCTTATGACCCCCTAGATATATCTGATATTACATATTATATGCAATATATTTTATTTGAATACGGGAATGAAATGCGACTTTTGGGATGTAGTATTTTTTTTGTCTTATTTTTAATACTTAGAGTGTATTTTGCAACTAATAGTTGCTTCTTTAGGTAGGGGGCAGAATGCACTTTAACACATGCTGTACTTGTTGGCACTTTGACTGAAATACAGATGGATCTGTAGAGTGCACGGCATCACGGATGAGAAGACAAAGAATCAGCCTAGCTGGTAGACGACGTCAGCTCTGAATATTGTCTTCAGTATTTTTGACACTGATTAATCTCACTCAGGATCCAGGAAATATCATTTTGCTATGTTTTGGCTAAAAGAGAAAAGGTCTTAATTCTGAGCATTCTGAAAATGAAAGGAGCCAGGCCATAACTACATCCTAAATACTAGGACCTAGCTCAGCTGCAGGCCTGCTATTTACAATCTGAGCGTGAGTGCACGAATCTAGGATCAATTTCAGATTAGAATGAATGGGACAGTGATACAAAGGAAGCTAGTAATCTTAATAGTAATCCTAATTTGCACTCCGTACTCCAGGACTTCTTGTAGAATATCAGGTTTTAGCAGGTTCATGTTCTGTAGTGTGAAACGAGGGCCTCAATGATGAAGCTACAAAATAGCATTGTGAATTTAAAAAAATAGCAGAGGTTTAAAAGATTGATGAGAGAATATCCATTTCAAGAGTGGCTGGTGTGGAGAGGATTATGCAAAGGTGAGACTTAAAATACAGCATCAAACATGAAGTCTCTAAGCCTGAGTGACTCAACGTGAAGGCATCCGGCATCTAAACTGCTCCTGCAAACACAATACATTTCAATTTCTGCAGTTTGCATGTGTGGAGACAGAGAAACAACAATGCGAAACGCCTATCGGTGGCCTCCCAGCCTCTGTGTGGTGCCTGTGAGTCTGTCTGCATCTGCTTGTCCACCATCTCTCACATGTTCTGTAACCATGCTCCATAACAACTCATGAACGCAGGAGACAGGCCTGATTTCCAGCCGTCCTGCTTTGAGCTGCTGTGTGAACCAGTTGGTGTGGTGACTTCACGTTGTTGCATCATTTGTTGTTGCTTCGCTGTTAAAGGCCGAGGAAGTTTTCATTCAACATTTGTTTTTAATCATAAGCACAATCTGTAACAATGGTGATTACATGTGGATAAACAGATGATAATAGATTTGTATTATTTTTGGGGGTGAAGCAACTCAGCAGTAAATACACCTTCTGGCCTAAAATGAACACGCACACACACACAACTGAACACACACAAGTATAAATGATGACATTTCGAAAAACTTACCTAATAGTAGTAGCCGGTGAGTCGCCCGGTATATCTGTTTGTCTTTTTGGAGCTGCTTCTCTATCTTTTTGTTGGCTTCCCTCTGTGCCTTCTCCTCATTTCGTTGGTCTTCGGTCTTACTATTGCCAAGACAGCCCATCTTCCCAAAAACCCAGTGACAGGTTCAGGGGGGAGGCAGGGTGGGTGGGTGGTTGGTTGGGTGGGTGGGTGCAGGAAGGGAGGAGGGTGAGGGTGTTGATCAGAGGAAGAGGAATAAAAAAAAAAATCAATGGATCCTAAATTCCTAGACTGGCCCAGCAGAGGAACACCTGGCTCAAAATGGGTGACATTTATGTTGCCAGATGCACAGGAGACAGATATAAACCTGTTAGTAGGTAGAAGATGGTGGGGCCCCAGCAAGCGTTGGCACAGTATGTATGGATGGATGGATGTGGCTATTTACTGGCAATTTATCAACACGAGATCAGTCAGAGAGGAGCAGAGCAATGATGCCGCCCTCACAGACGCTTGATTCCTGTGTTTTTCACTGTAAATCCGCAATGAAGTCATCAACACTGATATGAGAGTGGATGTGAAATTTCCAGCCTGGCGATGCACATGAATGAAGGTCGGCGGTCCCCGTTTCCTTTCAATCCAAACGCTGGCTTTTCTTTTTTTATATATATATATAAACTATATTTATTACTACACTTTTATAGTTAATTTTCTCAGCAAATGTCTCCTTCTGTGCCCATCTTCAGTAGATTCCTCACACTGCCATTCATTTACACTCACAACCCTAGCGCTATTTTTCCTCCACCTTTTTATTTCTTCCTTTAAATCTAGATTTTTTTTAAGGTTATTATTTCATTTTGCAATCGGTGCTGATTAAAGCACATCAAAGGCTAAATGTGGGGAAAATAAAAAATAAAAATTTCCTCTTAAAATGACGGCATGTGAATCATCAGGCTACACCGGGGCTTCTTTCTCTAACGCCAATCCGTCACATTATACACCTTCTTTTTTAAAGGGTGGTGGGGGGGTAGGTTGTTTGTAACCTTATCAATAATATCCTGTTTTTAGCCGATGTCAAAATGATTTCCTCCCCCGTCAACAGATGCTGGTGCTCGCCTGTTCCGAGGGTTTGACCAGACCCACAGAAAAAAGGCCCCTTCTCCGTCCTTTTTCTCTCCGTAACGTTAATTTGTATTTCTCCTCACATCGGGGAAGCTTCTCCGGACGAGCTCAGGCGGGTCTTTCTCTCTTGTGGCAGCTGGACGTCCTTGAGTAAAACGCCAAAAAAAAAAATCCAGGTGATCGTGGAAAATCCGCCGCTATTTCCCCGTTTGGCGCAGGTACAGCTCGCTGTCAAGTCTCTCGGCTTTTTGTATTCCCTTTGAATCCGTGTGGCAGATTACGGTTACATGTGCATGATACATGGACGTACCGCGGTGTTTTCAATCACTGGTCCGGCGGCGACACGCTCATCTTCGCACCGCCGAGAGGCCGCGTCCGCTCCGATCAACCGCCCGGGGAAACCACAGACGTTCGCTCGCCGCTTCGCTCCGAATTATTGTTGCCCCCGTTTTTCTCTGAGAATCGTACATTGAGATAGATAGCGCTGAGGAGGTGGGGTGGGGCAAACGGCTCTCACGGAACCCTGGGAACGAAGAACGCTGGTCAAGTTTTCCGGGACGACAAATTTGGTTTCCGGTTTGAACTTTCACAATAGAACGCGCCTCTCTCTCTCTCTCTCTCTCTCTCTCTCTCTCTCTCCCTCTCTCACTCTCTCTCACACACACACGATTACTAGTTTATTATGCAAGATGAGATAAGGTAAGATAAGATAATCCTTTATTAGTCCCACTAAAGGGGACATTTGCTAAGTTACAGTAGCAACAGTCAGAAAGAGGCATCAGTAAGTAATAATAAGTAAGATGCATCTCCTCACCCTAACTGGTCAGTTTATGAGAGTTTTTCTCTATAATTTTGACCTACTATGTTAAGTGCCTTGAGATAATGTATATTATTATTTGGCACTATACAAATACAATTTCACTGATTATTTACTCACCACTTTGCTGATTGGTTGGTGGGTGAAGTGTTTGAATCCAAAAAACACTTTTGGAATTTCAGGGGTAAACAGTGCTGCAGCCAAATCCAATACAATTGAAGTAAATGGTGACCATTTCTTCAAACTTAAAAAAAAAAGAAAAGAAAAAGCAAAACATAAAATGCCTCCATACTGCTTCTGTGGTGTCATCCAAGTGTCCGTAAACCCCAACATTCAAATGTGATTCAAAACGAGCTCATTTACACTATATTTTAGCCTAAATGCCCTGTGATATCCTCCCCAGGTTTGTTCGCATGTGGATCACAGCTGGAGAAGTTGGTTAAATCTTCAATCAATTTATTGCATTTTATACAACTATAAGTAGCATAATTTTCAATCAAAAAATAATCCAAACTCGTGAAAAAGAAACAATTGTAAAAGTTCCAAACACAATAAATTTATTTTTATGAAAGTATTGTGATATCTGCTTACTATGAGTACCATTTTATCATTTATGATACTTTGAAAATCTTTCTGAGATTAATGTATAGTTTGTGTGGTTAACAAAACGAGACCTCACTGCCACCTAACATTACAATAGACTATTAGAATATATGATGTATAATAGATTAAATAGATGACTGATACAGATATAATGGTCACAAAACATTATGTTAGATGATAAAAGTTAAAAAATCCAAAACGTAGGGGTAACTCCAGAAACAATCAACACCTTTGTATTCATTATCGCGAGGAAATATGATGCTTTTAGTTTGAAGTTGAGATGATGGTATTTCCGGTTCTCTCAGTGTTGTGGCTTGACGCAGGAACGAATCACATGATTGCCCGGAGCGTCATGAAGCAGAGGTACAGAAGGGGAGAGGCGCCCTCTTTGAAGCAAAATGATAATCAACTAAAACACCCAGAAAGCCTTAATCAATAACACTGAAAGCCTTTAGAATAAGTTATAGAGAATATCTGTGAATATGTACAGTCAATATGTGAATGGTCATATACAGTTAATTGGAGTTATGCAAGTACTAATACAGGTAGTAGGACAGGTTCAGGTTGAGTAAGATATCTTAGCTTGTACATAGTGGACTGTGTGAGTGTTGATAGTAGCAGACACAACTACAGTTTTATGTTATTGATGAATATATTGAACAATAATCAGAGGTATTGATCAGTGAAGTGTCCTAGCTGTGGTTTTGTTGTCATTTAAAAAAGTAACTCATCTATCAAACCTGCTTGAAGTTTCTTCCAGGCAATGGGGGAGGGAACTGTTGGGTGTCTCTATGATTTTTTTTTAAAGTTTTCGACCTATGTAAAGACAATGTATATTGTCATTTGGTGCTATACAAATTAAAATAAAATTGAAACCTCATATTCAAGGCTGCATCAGCAGCTGGACAAAACTGCCCAAGAGCCGTAGATTTCCAGGGGGCCCAAAAGTCTCAGATTTACACTTTTTACTTGATACGATTACATTTCTGAGGAATTTGGATTCATCTGGTAACTTTGTCTTTGATCTAGTTTTAAAACTTTATTATATCAGTTTATACAGAACTTATTTCTTGAAAAGTTGTGCTTCATTGAATTGCACATGTGTTATAATTTTACATTTTGTATTTCAAATCAAGTGTTCAAATTTAACATATTGTTCACTGTGTAGCTTTAACAATATCTTTGGTTGGGTGGAGATGAACCTTGAAATAGTTTCAGTGCCACAAATCTTTGGCTTCATGTATAACACACAGTATTGTAATATTAAGGTTAAATTGACTGAAGAGCTTCCATGAACTCAAGACTATTATTCAAAATAAACAAGCATCACTGATATTGATATTTATGGTTTGAGAAACACTTTCCAGATGTCCAAACAGTTTAACCCAATTCCGATCTGAATATAGTTTTTAACTTGTAAAGATTCTGTGGCTTTTCCTAATTTACCTCTAACATGGAAGCATGCAAACTGTGTGCATCACAAAGCATAGTCACAGATGCATGTACTGTATGGACTAGCAAACACCCATGTGCACATGCACACAAACACCTCCCTCCACACGTCAAAAGACACGGGGAAGAAGCTCAGGGCAAAACACACAAAGGTCATCAATGACATTTACATGCTACTGTGGCTCTTAATTGAAGCCCAACAGTCAACTGAAGGAGTAAAGTCAGAAATCATTTAAATCCAAGTCGTAGGTTTGTCGTAATAAATGAGAATAAAATCTTCCAGAGCAATAAACTTAATCTGTTGAACCTTTATCTGCTCAGGCCCGAAAGCTCATCTTCTTTCCTGAAGGCCTCAGTATCTGGTAAAAACTCTCAGTCAGTTTCATTGGTTTACCTATGAACACATGAGCTTAATGGAGAGTTTTCAGTCTGAAGTTTTATTTGATCACCATAGAGAAGAAACTTAAATGGTCACGAACACATGTAGAACTTTTACAATAGGTTACAAACTACAAAAATAAGTTTAAAGTATAAGGTTCTAAACAGAGACACAAAAGGAAATAAAAATGTTGTTTGCAGTTTGTGTCTCTTTCAGTCTGGAAGTCTCACTCATGCTTCAGAGGGTTACACATGTCTGTACCCATAATCATCATACTGACCTGTCAGGGACAATGATATAGTATCGTCTTTAACTATTGGCCCTGTGAACTTTATATGATATTAAATAATTAAGTACGTTATGCTGCACATACACAAAGACAGCAGATATAGACCAACAA